GCCCTGCAGGACAGGTGCAGTGTGGCCCCACCCCCACGGAGTTTCCCCTGACAAAGCCGATGCTCAGGGACTGGTCCCGAGGTCAGGAGGAAGGGTCTGTTCTGCCTGCTGGGGGCTCAGAGAGGCTTCCCTGAGGAGTGGCCCTTGAGTAGAGTCTTGAGAAGAGAGACATTCACCAGAGAGATGTGGAGGGAGAGAGTTTGGGGTGGGGAGTGCAGCGTTTGAATTCCAGACCATGAGAACAGTCAAGGAATGGGCCTGGCATCTTCTGGGACTCTGAGGGGCCTGGTGGCCAGATCAGGTGGGGCCTGAGTGCCACTCTGGACAGCTAGGACTTTGTCCTGAGAATAAGGCAATCAGGCTTGCTTTCCAGGAAAACTCTCTGGCTGCTGTGTGGAGAGAGACTGATGCCGAGCTGGAGGAAGGACTTTTACACGTGGCCTTTGGTCCCTGAACGAGGGAGATGGCTGCAGGGATGGAAGTTGGAGTGGGGAGGGGAGGTTTATAGGCAAGACAAAGAGTCCCTGGAGCCAGGCAGGTGTTGGGGGGACCACTGGGGACAACGACCAGGGTGGGGTAGGGGGTTTTCAGCCCTGCTCCGTGGGATGCTGTGTTTGGTGTGTGTGTAGTGAGTGTCACCCAAGCTCAGCTTGGCAGAGGGTCCTAGGTTGGGGTGACCCTGTGGAAGCTGAGAGAATAGCTGGGAGGGCCCAGGATGAGCTGGGAACAGAGGGCCTGAGACAGCCCCCAGGAACCCCAACTTGAGAGGGCTGGGAGAGGGACGGCACCTGCAAAGGGCATCTGCAAGGGGCACTTGAGAAGGAGCAGCCACAGGGATGGGGGATGGACGGACGGGGAGGTCTAATGGGGGAGGCTGCTGGGTCTGGCCTTGGAAACCCAGCAGTGACCTCAGGAGGACAGAACTGGGGAGCAAGTGGGGTTGGAAGCCATAACCAGCTGGCAAGGAAGATCTCAGGAAGTGAGGGAGGCAAAGAAGGGAGTGTGGGGGTCCCAACCTGCCCCTAGGACCCCTCAGCCTTCTAGGCCTCTCTGCCCAGCTTCCCTGCTGTCCCTTCTTGGGACCCCAGGACCCCTGTCCCATCCACCCTCCGAGTTCCTGCATGTTTTAAGGGATTGCTCCCACTAGTCCCCCACCCTGAGCTGGGGAAGACTCCTTCCTCCCCGGGCCCAGCCACGTGCCCGTCCGCAATCCCCACGCTCTCTGCCCTCCAGTGGCGAGCTTTCCTGCCCGGCCTGAAGTTTGAGGTCATTGGCTCTGCTCACATCTCCCTGTACACAGGTGAGCAGCTGGGTCCTGGTGGGTGGTCCCTGGGATGGTCTCTGAGTGTGGGTGGGGAGGGTCGAGAAGGGTTCTGGGAACCCCTGGGAACCTAATGAATCCCTGTGCCCCAGATGAGTCGGCCTTGAAGATGGACCACGTAGCCCACGTCCCCCAGTCTCCAGCCAGCCATGTGGGGGGGAGTCTGCTGCTGCAGGAGCCCACTGCAGACATGCTGCAGCCGGACCCCAGGGATACCTTCTTCCTCAGTGAGAGGAGGCCCATGAGGGGGCAAGGGCGGGGGTCCTGGGCCCTGGACACACTGTGACTGCCCCTCCTGCAGCTCCTCGGATGGAGCCTTCAAGCCTGGAGAATGTGCTGGAACCCTGTGCCTATGCCCCCACCTATGTCGTCAAGGACTTTCCCATCGCCAGATACCAGGGACTGCAATTTGTAAGTGCTGCTAGCCACAATCTACCCAAGACCTGCGCCTCCCCTTGAAGACTCCCCTGAGCCTCTTCCATCCCCTTGGAAAGTCTCTGACCCCACCTGACCCTCCACCCTGAGCAGGGGTACCTGTCCCACCCTGACCCTCCCTGGGTCCCAGCCTGACCCTCCGCCCTG